CGTTGACTAGCCATGTGTATTGCAATCTATATTGTCCTAAGTATCTTGGCCAGCCCGAAGCGAAAGATAAGGGAAGCATGGCGCAGCCGCTGTCGTCTAATCGGACAGTCTCTCGAGCATGATGATGGCGACTGACAAACATACATGATCCGGGGAGGGGGGCAATTCACATTTGGCTATACCAAGCCTCATAGCAGCCAACCCATGGCGAGATATGGCACCCAGGGAGGCACGTGAATCCAAAAATTGACGACCGTCGAAGACTTTAGTCGCGTTGTACAACATGGCAGCTACCTATGCAACGCACTGGTCGTCCCAAGACGTCAAAAGACAATGTATTCAGAGTCCTGTCTGATGACAAATACTCACGAATATCAATATTAACTCTCTAGATATCCCGTTCTCAGCGAAGTAAAGCACGATGCGATGGAAGCCCTCTTGGTTCTGGCCCCTCTATCCGTGAGGGTGGGACGAGCAGGGAAGACTTGGATACAAGAGTTATTGGGAAGTTATTGGGAAGTTATTGGGAAGTTATTGGGACTCGGAATACAGCTCCCCGCTGGCCCTGCTGACCACTGTAGCCGAAGCGAGGACTGGAATAAACTAGAGAGTCCCTCCATCTCCCGACAACGCTCAGATTATCCGACGCCGTTACGGCCATCGCTAGACTGACGATGGATGAGAAGGAATCAAAGCTCACGACCGTGAGGATCCGGTCATAGGATTGATCCGACACAAAGCAGTACATGCGTCAGGGCGACTCTACGAAACGTCTCGCCACCAGAACAACGCGTTCGGAAAGCCTACGGAGTCAGACAACTTGTTCACTGTAAGCCGTACTCATCAGTCACAGCATCCATGTCACAGAATATCGGCTACTGAGCATGACTTGGTTGGGTATCGTAGCTATCATTGACTGCAGCAAAGTGTGGCCCTGCAGGTGAGCCGCAGGTTATCTACTTAGTTACAAAGGTCCCTCACCATGGGGATCCATCCAGCACCTCCATATCGCGACAATTCTCCTTTCTACTGTTGGAGAAGTCTATGCCGCTCATTTCTTTGGCAGTCGGTACTTTCCACCGACCAGCTCCAACTCATCCATCGCCATCTTTTCCGCAAGGAACTCCTGTAGCTCCTCGTTGCTCCATGGGAACCCGTCCGCTATCAACATCTTCATCATCATGGCGATCTGAACCAGTGGCATGGCTGGACTCGAGTTGGTCAGCATACCAACAATGAACTGCCAGTACACCTGTCGACGTTCCTTCTCCTTGGCATCCAACGCGCCCGGTTTCTTGGGCGAAAGGTCGCCTGAATCGGGCGCTGGAGCATCATCGGGACCGGGTCCAGGTGGATTCCCTCCATCTTCGGCATCGGCATCCAGCTTCTCAATGACGATAAAGGTGCCCGACTCGATCTCGCGGAGGACACGCTGGCCGACCCAGAACGATAGGGCGGAACGAATCAAATCGTCGTCCATTTGTAGCATCTCTTCAAGCTGGTCAACCGTGCGACGTATGGGAAGCGGTCCGCTGTAAGAGTCATCTGTTTGGAATGCATAGATGACAACGGCTTCGTACGTCTTGCACTCCTTCTCAACTGTTCTGTCTTCAAGTTCAAGGTTGACAGTGGCGTTTCCGAGATTGTTGAGCCATGTAAGCTTGCGATTGGACTTGAGGCGCTCGAACTCGCCTTCGTACTGTCCTTGGCCCTCGATGACAGGTCCAGGTAAGATAAAATGCTCTCTGTCCATAGTTGGCCAGAAGAGCCGAGAAAGAATCTTGGTATGGTATGACGGAGTGTTGTGGACCTTACGGATGGGACCACCGATGACGCCTGTCCTGATCGTCTTCGAGATGATAGAGTCGACTTTCTTCGAGTCTTGGATGTCCTTTATCATAACATCGCAGTTTTGCAAGGCATTATCCCCAAACCGCTTCTTCAGTAGATTGAGCACACGGACTTCTTGGCTGAAATCCATCTGTGTAGACAGCAATCTCTCTGCAATGATGTTCTGGAACTCCTTGATGAAGATATCCTGAGAGCCCAGAGCGCTGATTAATGTCCCGATGACGTCCTCTGACTTGGGACGCTTATAGTTCACTCCGGCATCTACGGGATCAGGGATCCATTCCATATCGTCCCAGTCCAGTTCCTCATCCTCAACAGCAGGTCTTCTCTGCTGTGACGGATCATTGAGTAGAACGGCGAGCTCAACGAGCTTAGTATTGCCTGCCTCAGTATTGGAGACATCTGGGTTTGATAGGAGTCCAGTCACGACGATCGGGATCGCATCGTCTCTCTGACATAAGTAAAGCTGCAGCGAATGGACCACACGGTCTAGTAGCACTTTGGAATGGTCCAGAGCATGGAAGGTCCTGATCATAGAAATGTATACGCGTAGTATGTCCAGTGTTGACCGTCCGGGATGCAACAGCCGTTTCTGTAACGCTGCCGAAAACGTGTCCGTCAGTTGCAGCCGTCTCTGCGGCGTTGTTATTGCCATTCGGAGGTCGTCAAGAGCGCCTCTGCTGTGGGGCCATTGGAGAACGATGTCGAAGAGCTCATGGATACGCATGACTGCTAAACGTCCAACGGCAATCTCCTTCCACTTTTCGACATCGGTCCAGGCAATGTCCCCGCTGCCGAGGCGAGCGAACACCTCGACTGCTAGCCGCGAGTAATGGTTTTCGACCCAGTTGCATAGCGCAGCAATGCAGCGCGAAGGGGTGCCAAGTTTGGTAGCGCGAGGCACAGACGAGGCGCGCGGAGCATCCTTCCCGCCATCTGATTTCGACTGCGTCCAGGCGCCGGCGAATGATGTTCTGATGTGCTCCACCATCATGGCGTCCATGAGCTCAGCGAATAGGACTTGGAACCTCTCGCCTGCCAGTCCTACTTTGTGCAGTGCCTCAATCAACTGCAGGAGCTCTTGCCGCGCTGCCGCTGCCGCTGCTGCCTGACGGTCTGCTTCGAGGTCGGTTGTCCGAGAGGCACCCGGGGGAGGGCTGGTCTGCTGCATGCCCAGAACCAACCTCATCTGACGACTCAGAACAGCTCGGAGGGACTCCATAAGCGCCTGCGACATGGAGTTGCCGATGACTGCGTGTAGATCACGGCGGAAATTGTCGACGGCGATGTCTGCATGCTTGTTCTCAAGGCCCCGCACGATAAGAGACAGTCCGTAAAGATACTGGCGGTGAGCTGCTTCCAGAGTATGGATGCTGCCTAGGAGCACCTGGGATTGGTCACCGTACGTGTTGCAAGCAGAAAGTAGGGGGAGGACATGTTGGGCGAAGTGGTGGCGAACCTGCTGAGTATGCCAGGAAAGGATATCTTCGGTTGTAGCGGCGTTCTCAGAGTGCTTCTCTGGATGGAGTACCACATTTAGACTGTCATAAAAGTCTGCGTCGTAGTCCTGAGATTCCGGAGCCAGAGTGCCAAAGGAGTCCTCAGCGGCCACCGACGGCGGAAGTTGAATACGAGTCGTCACAATGTGCCATGCTTGGTCCCACCGGACTTGATCGCTGGTCTGCATGGAAGCAGAAGTTTGTGAACGCCGAGATGAAGACGATGCTTGGATGTCTGAAGGTTTGCCATGACCAGGGAAGTGCGGGCGGGAGGGTGATTGACGGTGTAGTGGTGGTGATGGTGCGCCGCCAAACGGCTCTGCATGCGACTTGAACCTTTGAGAAGGTATCGAATGAGGAGTGGGTTGCGAGATTTCGGAGTCAAAAACTGATCTGAACACGCTCTGTCTCTTGCCGCTCCACCTCGACGGCGCGGCGCTCACTATCGTGGCCATGACTGCTTGTTGAATGCATCCAGATGCGCTCAAGCGGAAGGATCCAAGGCCTGCCTCATTGAAGAGTCTCGGCAAGGATGGTGCGGTGACACTCAATGAGGAAGTTGCAATTATGTCGGTCGACGGTATCTATCGTGGAGGATTGCCGTGCTGTCGCCAGTTGTTGTTGATTCCAAAGTAGGTGGAGGGAGGTGTTTACTTTGTTTGGCGTTGATGGGTGGATTAAGCGCTGCGCTTAGAGTGCCTCAAAAATTGGAAGGGATAACGTGGGCCTATCGCAGCGTCGCGCTTATTTCTTCCGCAGCTGGCGACAGGCGCTAGCGCCGCTCCCAAGATCCAATTGGTAAGCCCGAGGGGAAGGAACGCCCGGAGCGGCAGCCACGAAGCGAGACAGGCGCACATGCTGGTGGTGAGCTTCGAGGGGCTAGCAGTATGTATCACCAAGGAGCACTGTAGCAAGCACAGTAGGTATACACAGGTAGCCATCTTAGGTACCTAAGGCACCCTGCTCCGAGTGCGTGGCCTTAGGTTCACACCCTCTGCCCTCAAGATCCACTTTTACAATCACCCCTTCCTCCTTACCGCAATACGACTCTCTCTCTCTCTCTCTCTCTCTCTTTCGCTTGTCTCCTGCACACCTCCAACATCTTCCCTGTTACCTTATCTAAGCAACCACAGAATTTCATCACGTTCGCGGACGACTCCCGATGATAATTCGCGGCCTATGACCAAGCTACGAAGACTCAAAACCGCCGAAAGAAAGTATCGTACCTAGCTAGGCGCGTTACCTGAAGACCATGAACAAGTCATTTCAGTGTCGTTGCCACCAACCCACAAATACTCGCTTAAAGAGCCCGCAGCCGCTCTTCCGTTGAGCATGGTCGAGGGCGTGTCTTCAAGCGGTATTCCCCTTACGACAAGTGTGGGGTAACAACACGAAGGATCGAGACAAGCTGCGTCGAACCTGTCCTCAGCAGCACTTGCATGCTTGAACGCAGAGGAGACAGGAGACATGACAAGGTACCACCGTCGGACCAGAGAAAAGGGCCATGGAAGGGGGTTTGAACAAGAACGCGAAACCCCAAGGAGACACAACGAGGGAGCAATTAGATCTAAATCTCAGGTACGAACGTTTCTTCCTGCCCCCAAAGCTTCAATCATACCGCCAAGAGCTTGTAACGCATTCTTCCCATAGATCACTAGCGACTAACCGTGTTTCGTATCCAGACGTGGAGTATTGCTGGCCAGTGCGCAATATCAAGAGCAATCTCAAAACCGTCCGAGGATTCGAATCTAGGCTTGATTGCCAATGGGCTGGCTCCTCGATCAGCACAAAGAGGCAGGGCCATCCCAAGCAACGGGCGCCGTAGCCATCCATGGCCGGGGCGATTCTCATTCAACGTCCGGCAGCTGTCGCGTCATCCGGGTACTCCAATACGTATGCATTCCAATATCGCTCGCTGTCGGCTCGTCTCTCCGTATGGGAAGATTGGTTCGGGAGTACACGAACGAATCGAGGCCAAGACAACCTGGCCAAAAAGTGGTTCAAACACCGAACCGTTGCGGCCTTGCCCCAATCGGCCACTTTCATGACCGATCACAGCTTCACGGGTCGTCAAGCCTCTTCCTTCGAAGCGGGGAAATGCGACCCCCATGAGTCCACGGAAGTATCGAGGGAGAGGAGGCATTCGGCCCCGAGACAATCAGACGGCTGCTATCTTCCGGCTGAATCAAGTTCACCATCATCACCCCCGAGCGAGGTCGACATGATGGACAAGCATACCACGGGGTGCCCTGGTCATTCAATATACGCTTGTCTATACGACGAAGCTGTCTAGTCTTTGACTTGGACCCTACAGACTGACAACTTTGACCGCACGGATAAGATGGGACTTACTATGCTTCTGGTCATGCTTGCCGTACCTACTTGTCGTCAACGTTCCGCCGTTACCCATCAACTAATGGGTGCTTCAGAAGACGACCCCGATTGCAATCCTTCCGATCTGAACGCCCGCTCATCAGGGGTCACAGCTCCATGGCTTCCCCTTAACGTAGGTATGCCTCCAAGTCAAAGCAGCCGGTAGACGAGATAGAGCATGCTTGAAGGCGGTACAGTCCTTTCCAGAGCTTCCATGTGGCTGTTCCACTGTGGCCCTATGAGCCCGGCCCCTGCTTTTTAACCACCATTAGCCGTTGACCGCCGTTGCTTCATGATCCTTTGCAAGTGACAGTGGCACCGATTTCGTGCCACCTGTTCGCCCCGCCGCGGTTGTCCATCAGCGTCCTGCCGGTGACTTCGCCACTTCGCGCCCAACAGGGCTGGTTTCTGAGCGACCAGCCTTCGACAAGATGGAGGGTGAATCGATATGGATGCAGACGGACTGGGCTGTGGGATGCTCCCGACCGGCACGGCAGTGGATCAAGCCACCAACCTTGTCCACATTCTTCCGCCTAGCCCATCAGTGGATCTCGAATAATCCTGCTGCCTGGAAGGCATCACAGGTCGTCGCCATACCCGCAGAGCGTAAGCGACAAGAGAGCCGACGAGCGGCTACCGAGTATCTCGACAGACGATTTGCATTATCGTTTGACTGGTAGAGCGGCGTCTTCCAGAAGCTCGTAAGCGAAAGCTCTTCGAGTCTATCGCCAGGACCTCCATCGACCTTAGGGTATACCAACATATTATCATGTCTACGGATGTGATTTCGGAGCCTGAAAGCAGCAATTGATTAGCCGCAGCTTATTCTGCAAGCAAGATCGCGACTCCAAACAACTGCCGTGGACCGAGGTCACTAAAAGAGAGGGAGCTTCACGTTTGGTGACCTGAAGGACAGCTACAGTTCTTCGAGCTCTGGCAAACGCCAGAAATCCACCATTTGACTCTGAGACGGAGACTCCTAGCAACAAGAGGGGGATCGTTGGTATACCAAGAAATCCCGAACGACCAGGCAAGGAAGCAGCCGCAGTTAGCTAGACTATGCTCTGGCGTCTTAGGTCAAACTTGCTGCGCCTACTTCGCTATTGCTATCATCGAATAGCAGACGCTTGATGAGTCTCGAAGGATTCAACTTGCAGCTCGCATGGCGACCAATAAGAGCCAAGATGCAACGAGTGCCGTCGAGTATTTCGTCCAATGCGCGCGAGGAGTGTAGACGGTCACAGCATGTCAGGACCTGTCACAGCTTATTGTCAACTTGTCATGCCTTCAAAGTGGGCCATCACCAATGCAACCTCACTTTAAGGTGATTCCCCAAACCGGTAGGATATGGGTCCCTTACTTTTCCGGGTCGCTGGAGTCGCAACTCCACGTGAATGTTTGGCTGTTGCATATTCTGCTTATATAATACAGTAGAAGTTGGGTTTTGGCCCCCAACCCCGCGACGAACGCTCTGGGAACACCATGTCCTGGCTGGTTGGTTGATGAGCTGTCGCAAGCTGTCTGTCTAGGGTGGCTTGCGATCAACCATTTGGCGTCATGGATATACGCAAGCTCTGTGTCCTTAGTAAGAGACGCTCATACTCGCTGGTGTTTCAGTAACTGCAGAAAGGGTCAACTTCCCATTGGACACACTTAATGATGCGGAATGTATCGAAGCAGTTGTGGACTGTCTCAAGACGGGTGGTCAAAGGGCAGAACAATCGAGTCTTTACAACAATCGTGCATATCGTCTTGTTCATAGCTGATAGCTACATGGACTGTCGCGGAATTCTCGATTTTGCCGAACGGCGGCCCCTTTCTTCTTTTCCCGATCTTTCTCATTTGCGACACGAAGGCGCTTCTATGGGATGCGGATTGCCCTGTCGCAACTGATACACCAAGCCGCGCAAAACAGGCCCGGACGACAACACCGACATGCCCGACGGTCGTAGGTCCCAGTCTGCCCCGTTCGCAGTGATTCACCGACGGGCGTAATGGAGCCGAACGCGCACCAGAATTCGGGACTAGGGTCGGTTTGCCACGGAAGCTCGGGGATCATTTGTAGTTGTTCTGGGTCCGCCGACACGTTCATGTGGAGCATGAGGCCACTCTAATGACTGCAATCTCGAGTGGTTAGCATGGCAGTCATCCGCCCAGACTAGCGATTACCCAGCACGGGGAGCCCCCAGATCACATCTCAAGGGGGCCCGATTATTGATACCTGTCCGTATCTGTACACCACGAAGTACAGGCTACGGATACTCGCAAGGTTACCATGCGTTCGAGGTGTTTACTCCCGAGCCTGTTCGGGAGTAAAATCGAGGTTGCAGTCTTCTGCAACTCCGTAACCTAGAGGTTGGATCCAGAAAGCAGGGACCAATCATCGCACATCCCATGTGTTTGTGTTGCAGCCAGCCAGGCACCTCTAGTACCTGTGCTCATGGAGTGGTCGGACGAGCAGGTTTACGGATGATTGCCATCGCCAACCCCCACCGATACTGGCCCCCTTCGTTCCCCCCACCCCTCTTTGGCTCATATTCACGGGGTTTTGGGTCTCTTGGGTCTTGGTCGCGCTTTCTCTATGAACCATATCGAATAGGGTCTGCCCATCAAACGGTCGGCCTCGGGCCTTCAGAAGTATGGTTGAGTGCCAGGCGGAATTCCCGGCATGACGGATAATCCATGGACGCCAGGAAGGGGTAACTTTCGCCTCGCCAGGGGAGGAAGGGGACTGCTCAGAACAGTGGGCTCGTTTCTACTCTCTTCTTACTGGTTATATTGGACTGATACCCCATGAATCCACTAAGCAAAGACCAAATGTTCGAATGTCCCAAAACGGGTACAATATTATCCTTACTCTCACTCACTCACTTTCAACTCTGATTTGGCATTTTACCGCACGTTAACTCTCAAGGCAGGCAACTTACGAAAGATGACATCAGATTATGTCAGGCGCCTCTCGTCTTCTTTGTATCACTGGTACAGATGCGGTAACATTCAGCGCATGAATGATGATATTCCCCTCATCCCACAAAAGCCGCTTATCTCCATGCTCACGGGTCTCTCGCCTCGTCTTCCACACCTGGCTTCTCCCTGTAAGCCATGTGCCTCATAGGGCAGGGTGTCGAGTTGTCTCCTCAGAAAGGGGGTCCAGCAGAGAGCAGATTGGGTTGTACGGGAAGGCCACTCTCGGGGTGTGGAGGAAGAGCGAAGTACGGATACACTATGGCTAGAGTACTACGACGTTGCGCACTTGGCGAAGCTGAGGTTGCAATAGGTACCAACTTTTGGCCCTTGCGAGAGTTTCGGCTAGCGACTTGAACCGCTCGCTCCACCCTAGGATTTAAAATTTGGGGGCGGAGAGTCTCCGACAAGCACGAGCCAGAACCAAGGATGAACGTCTTCAGTGAACCCGGCAAGGATTTCGGACGAGAGCTTGCCTCGGGACCGAAAGTTCAATGTGTAAGGATGATGTCTCTGGGGGTAACGGGATCTGGCAGTCTCGACGCTCCCATGAGAAGTGGCAATAAGAAGACAGAACGGTATGTCGAGCATTGACCAAGGTAGGTCGAGATTGCCTAACTGCTGATACACTACCTACAATCGTCACTTCCAGACCGGGCTCGCACAGCAAGGGTATCACTTTTGTATTCGTACCTCGCGGCACCTATGCCAACTGAGAGGAAAGGAGGTAACGTATCCATACAAGCAATATCTACGTACCCACGGGTGTGAGGCGTGTCCATACGTACATAACGAACAGAGCAAGGTAAGGTAAGGTAAGGAACCCACTGTGGTGGCCTTGCACTGCACTTTCTTCACCTTCATCCACAGGACAGCGTCCCCTGCAACCTCCCACGCCTGCGGCCTGCCCTCCTCGTCTGTCGGGTGAGGGCTGACAGGCGGCGGGGGCGACCCTCTTAAAGTCCGGGCGGTCCAGTCAGATGTCTCTCTCACCTTTGCAGTGTCGCTCTCTCACAAGTTACAACCACACCAACCCAGGCTCGCCAGGCCAGCCCTTTCTGATCCATCACCGGGTCGTCGACACCAACCGGGTGGCACCCACGTCGTCTTCCCTCGCACTGCATCTGCATTGCATGGCTCCTCAATCCCACGTTGATCTCGGACTGGGCTGCGTTTGTTCCTTTGTCATTCTCGGACTCGGAGGATGACACGCCCTTGACGCAGCATCACTTGGTCCTGTGCTCCATCCTCCCGCGGAAGACCTCGGAGAGGCGCGTGGGCTTCGCGGAGCCATCGACGGGACACCCTCACGGCCAGAGGAGCAAGCGAATAGTTCGTCATCGTCATCGTCTATCCGTACGGATACAGAGGAGCCCGAACTAGAACGACGATGACCACCACAGCCATGACTACCGCGCAAGTCTGCGCACTACCTGCGTCAACAGCCGCGGTACGCCTCCGCCGCCGCCCGCCCGCCCGTCTATTCCTTCTCGCCCTGGCGGGCCGTTCCAAGCCTCAAATCCCCAAAAGCAAGAACTCATCTCAGCTCAAACGAGATTCGTGCATCTTCAATTCGACCTTATTTTGATGCCTAAAGACAGGCTTGCGTGATCAACCCTCCAACCCCGACCCCCTTCCATAATCAGATGGACTTAATAGACGTTAAACCGAACATCGTTAGGGACGCTACAACCTACCAACGTCTTCCCTACAAGTTAGGACCCGTACTATTTCCATCGCGGCTGTGTCGAACGGGGGGGGGAGGGGTGAAGGCGGGGGGAGCTGCACCACCTACACCACAAAAACCACACCACATCATCAGCATTTTCCCTTTCTCCAATAAGTACGTACCTCACCTTACCTTCACTTTTCGGTACGTATCCCGGTCAAATTCCTCTCACCTTGCTCGTTCTTTGCTCACCGTAATGCAGCCCGCCTGGCCTGGAAGATATCATAACCCTGAGCTTTATGGATGCTTTCCTGCTCATACGAAATCGAACCTGCCACTCCTGGTCTAGAGTCACACGGTTGAATACGGATACGCTGGTCGAGCAACTTAGCAAGACACCTCTAAGCAGCCCATCTGCAAGAAGACTTCGTTGCCTTGACTGAACCCGGCTTGTCTGGCAAGCTGGGTCGTCTGCGACGGCGATCGCTGCCCGTTCTCCCTTGTGAGCCCTGGGAGCCCGGCTCCCAGGTTCCTAGCCCCAACCAGGTCCAGGTCCAGGTCCGTTGTGACGGGAGGCGGGTCTTCAATTGCCCGCCGGGACCAGTTACACTAGACAGAAGAGGTTTGGGTCGAGTCGACTGGCCCCTCCTGCGTTTCCTTGTCCGATGGCAGCATGCAAGTCGGTCAGCCTGATTCGGCCAACTGCATACTCTTCCAAGTATTCATTGCATGTGTTGCTCATCTCTGGATGGTCTACCAACTAGCATTTCCCTCACGGATCTGGTCCGATGGGCGTCAAGTCAGGACTTCTCAAGAAGTTGCAGACTTTATTGTCCCATTATCACAGGCCAAGTGGTCGATGTCAAATGGGGGAGGGAGAATTCGAGAAGAAAGCATTCTCATCCGCGGCCAATCTGAGCGTCTGAAATTTGCCTTGTCCGTCTGTACGGTGCCGATCCTACGCCAGTCGACCCGTAAACTTGGTAAAGCATCTTTCGACTCCACGGCTTTTCAACGTTGCACGGCAGGCACTTATTTACAGCGGCTCTGCTAGCCATGCCAGTTCCAGGACTACGACTCGCGAATGGATACGCTTTGGGGCCATCCCAAGTCATGAATGGCATCATTTATTGATCCTCAGCGTGCGTCAAAGCCCCCTACTGGCTCCGAGCCGTCTCGGTCCGGCACCGGCGCGAAGAGGGGACCTCCAACCACCACCAAGAAACCCTATATTTTCTTCATATCATCCGATGGTCCTCGATTTCGACAAACGGTAGCAAGCAAGCGAGATGGGATGCTGGGCGCGCCGCGTACCAGTCTACCAGAATCACAGATGCCATTCCCTCGCGCCTCCCCGTACGAAGTACACGTGGACGATAGATTGCTCCCGCCGGTGGCCTGGAATTACAGCCCCACGATCCATGGGTTCCACGGCTGGGAACCGGGGGATCCCCCCGAGCTTTTGAGTCTCCGCCGCGCCCTTGCAAAAGTCGGATAAAGCACGACTGTCTCCTCCCCAACTCCGCTCGACTGATCTTGACATCACTAGGAAGCCCCCGGCTCATAGCTCACTTGGCGCTGGCGCTTATGCATCAGCGTCCCCCCTATGGACGGAGAGCGACTCCGAAAGCTAGGACCTCTCCTCTCCTCCCATGGCTCTCGCTGGAAACGTCGTCGCCGCCCCCTCCTTCGTCCATCTAAACCTTGGTCCATCCGACATCTAACCCTCCACAACCCGTCGTATCTCCATTTCTGACGAATTGACAAAAGATCCAACGACATTGGATGCAAAGCAACGTAAGGTAATGTACACAAATTCCCAGTTTGCTAGTCCCCATTTTCCCTCACGGAGTACCGCATTCCAAATCCAACTAACGCCGCATGATTGGGGGAGCTCCATTGTCATCTCGTAAACACCCTCCCAGCAAAAATGCTTATTGTTCCCTCCTTTGTGTGTCTGGGAAAGAGAAGGGCGGGACCCTGTTCGCCTTGCCAACCTCGTTTTCACTCTTCTTGCTTTGCTTCCGCGGCCGCCTTGACAAGGGACCCAGCGTCACGGCGTCGTTTGGCGGCCGCCAACAACAACAACAACAACAACAATAACAACAATTGTTCCTTGGGCCCGCCCCTCTTCAAGTTCCCATTGTTTTGGATAGTGGCCATTTCTCCCCCCCTCTCTCTCTCTCGCGAATTGCAAGGGCCCTAGCTCGGATAGCTTGGTCGTTTTCCACGGTCGGTGGTAACAAATGCCCGAAACAGAGAAAGGGGTGGGGTGTGAGTGAGGGAACTTGAGAGACATTGCGGGCTGCCGGTTGCGGGCGACTGACTCAATTTCAAGATTACCAGGGGGGTTCAAGCGAAAAAGTGCCGGGGTTGCAGAGGCTTTTTCTTTTTTTCCTTCTCCCGCTTCACCACTTCCGCCAGACACCCCAGTAATGTCTTTCACATGTAGACTAACGATAAGGCGGATATGAGAGCGAGAGAGCGAGACAGAAAAAAGGTATTCGATATGACGTGCGCGTTCAAGGATGTTTGTAATTTATCCTTCAAGGCAACAAGATTTGTTTTCTCACACCTAGAAAAGTTCGGATGTCATGTCCGTCTTACAGATGAGAGTGTAAGACGAGACGAGACAGTCCACGTTGTCGGTAAGACGGACAATGATCTAATTCTATTTCCACGAGACTTGTTGTATTTTTGCATGTCCTCAAATTTGGTGTTGCATGCACTGAAAGAGCGAAATGGGAACATGATGTAGAAAGATGCGTTCTTGTGACGCTAGTGAAAGGGTATATTTCAAGATTTATCGACATCGATATCGAAAAATGAGTAGAAGAATACATGCCATCTAGACGGTCTGATCGTCTTGAGCAGTTGGTGCTGCTACTGCCGAAAAAGCCTTCCAAAATTGTCGTGAGAACGAGAAAAAAAGAATAAGCGAAAACAAGCCAAGAAACACCTCCCCGGAATCCCAATCCAAATAACCCAGACAAACTGAAAAAAAAAAAAAAAAGAATATCAAAAATAAACTCCTCCCAAAAAAAAAAGGTGTGCCAATGACAAGTTCATTGGACATCTTGTACCTATGTGACTCCCCCTCCTTTCCAGCGATATTTTTGTAAACCCTCCTCTCACGTCTGCTTCTGTCGCATCCTCTTCAAGTAAATGCTCAATGTCCCAAACATGTACAGTTCGAATGGTAAAACGGATCTGGGTTTTCCCCCCTCCTTCCGCAAATAGCACGGCCGTAAGGTCCTTGCGTGGCTTGCGTGTTTGTTAGAAAAAAGGGACTTTTGTTGTTGTTATTGTTGGCTCTCTCTCCCCTTTCGCGTGCTGTTGGTTCCAATAACCAACAGCACTCACGTGTTTCGGCGCTGCTTGCATTTGTCGTGGAGAAGGTGGCCGTTCCTTGCCGTCGTCCTCGTGAACTCTGCGCCGCAATTAGGGCATGTCGCCTTGGTTGCCTGCCCAGACTTTTCTCTCTGGTGCCTCAGGAGGTTGCTAAAGGTAGAGAATTGTCTTCCGTTGCAGCCATGTTCCCAGCACTGAGGTTTGGGCCGGCTCTGCACCACTCTGACGTGCCCCCCTTGGTCCGGGGCTCCGGGGCCCATCGATGGCGGCACGCCATACATCAGGCTCGGGTCTTGTCCAACAGGCATCGAGTGTCGGCTTCTGCATTGGTTGTTATTAGTATCAAAACGTCTTTCTGGACAGCCCCCTTTCGGTTGAGTTTCTCACAACATACCCGTATTGCGCTGGTGGTTGGAACTGGTTGGAGTAATCCATGCCACCCATGCTGTAGGCCTGAGCCATTGGCGGGTATCCGCTCTGGTAGCCATGGTCTGATAGAGGTGGGCTGTAAGATGGGAGGTATGATGATGATCCCATTGACGTTGTTGGCTCTGCGAGGAGGGAAATCGGCGCCGGTGCTGTCGTGTACACGGGTACGCCCATCGTTGAAGAGACGTCGGGTAGGCTGAGGGGAGGCGAATGGATGTAAGGGTTGCTACCAGCTCTGTGGACGCGTGATGATGTCTTGGAGTCTCGACGAGCCATGTCCCTCTGCTTCTTCAGTTCCCTCTGCTCTGGCGTCAAAGTTCCCCGTGGTGGACTTGCTGTTACTGATCTGGATCCACTTGGGGGTGTGAGGCTGACGTCTTGGTGATGATGTCCGAGAGAAGAGAGGTTGTGTCCGAGTAGTGATCCGCTTGCTTCGGGGTTGTCGAGACCTTCAAGTTGAGCATGTTAGAGGATCCCAGAAGGTTACAAAAGGGGAGTTGAAGTGGAGGGTTAATTACCAGGCCAAGTGAATGCTGATCGGCTTCCCATGGTAAATGAAGGGTCAAATGGAATAGCAACAGTGCTGAAGAAGGAGGAAGTGTTAGATGGTCTTTATAGTCTAGTGGTTGGTACAATGTTGGAAGCGCACCTCATGCTTGCTCCAGTTCGCAGTGGCGGAGAGGACTGGTTGGAAGAGTAGTCCTGGGCGGGGTCCACTCTGACTAGAGGGGTCGAATCCGAAGTGTGATGTACCTCGTGTTCGTTCCACTCTGATGCGTTTAAGATCTCGGGTGGTAAGAGAGGGAAGGACGAGTATCCTTGTGAGTTGGAGGTTGAGAGAAAGGTTGCGGAGTTGGGCGGGTTGGGACTGATATAGCCGGAGGAATGGAGAGCCTCAGACCTGACCGAGGGGCTGGACTCTAACGGTAGCGTTCTGGGGGAATCGACTAGTTGGATGTTGGCGAATTGAGCAGCAGTAGCTGATACACGGCTCCCTGCTCTGGATCTGGGTGGAAGTGAGTAAGAGTCCTCGCAACCCTGCTCAGAAAAACTGGAAGCCATTGATAAAGAAGAAGGATGACGATGAAGAAACTCTGGATGGCACATACGGGCGAGGTTGTTGAAGAGTTGATGTCGAGATGTACTTGTTGCAAGAGTCTACCTTTGATGCGTATGTCCAAGCGTCGTTACCAGTTGAAGAGTTGTATCAAGGCAGTGACGATGTTTGATACTCGAAGACCCGGATCGACGACTTATAACGAGACCAGTGCGATCAGGCAACGATTTTGAGGTCTGGAGAAGGAAGGATTGCTTGCTTGCCAGGTGGAGGCTTTCGGTTCAACGAGATCACAGATGCTAAACTTGGATATCACCAGAAGGTTAAAGATCTCAGCCTCACAGGCCCAGGAGCGGGCACTGTCTTATAAATGGCAAGCGGGCAGTGAAAGCTGTGGAGATGGTAGCCAGATCCCGACCTCTGGACGTACCTTTTCCATCGCATGAGAGGAGAGAAGACACAAGACGGGCATGTTCAAAGAGACGAGCTACACTACATGGAGGTAAGTCCAGACGGTGGGCAGGGGTTCAGGGTAGAAGAAGAAGAGAGATGGGATTGAGTGACCAGGATGGAGAACAGAGTAAGGTACCAGCGCCCATTGTGTGTATACTGTTATGTTATGGGGAAGGGTGGGGGGGGGGGTGTGATCGCAATAACCAAGTGGACGAGGGGGGCGTGTGCTGTAAGATGGGGAACAAGGGCAGACTACTGCTTGGGGGAGAGGGGAGGGGGTGTAAACGCGGGTGAGAGCGGGCGAGAGAATTCCTAGCGCATGGTGTAAGAGCGAAAGCGCGCGCAGAGCGGAGGCACGATGCTAGAGGTGTGTGAGCGAGTGAGAGTGACATGCAATACATAATTAATAGGACCTGGGGGAGTGAGAGTGAGAGTGAGAGTGAGAGTGAGAGTGAGGGTTGCTAAGGTAGAGGGGAATGATGGGCAGATGGGCACAGTTGACGAGTGAAGAAAGACATGGGGCTGTGGCGGGGACGGGGAAGGGATCGATAGGCTCCAGCATTTCCAGCAAAAGCATTGGCAGCCGTAGCGAAAACGCCCTGGTCAACGTCCCTGCTTCGAGCTTGGGACGGGCTGCAGGGCTATGGCTAGTGCGCACTAAGGCACTGTAAGGTGAAAGAGGTGTGGAAAGTAGAGGATGGATCATGGATGACATCGCTCGAGCCCTGGCTGGCCGTCAGAGACGGGCCACTGGGTTCTGGGTTTCTGGTTTCCGGGTCTGTTCTGTTGGTACTGGGCCGAGGGGAAGGGCTCAGGGAAGACGACGGTCCACGGATGTTGGTGACGGGGAGGGGAGCCCTTGACTTGAACCCGTCCCAGCCGGTCTGTGATCGGGAAAGAGTGGGTAATGGGACATCAATTGACCTTATTCCCTATTGGGGCAGCAGTTTCGACGTTGACGGGGAACCAGGGGCCGTGTTTGTATGAGTACCCTGAGTTGAGAGAGAGTCTTCGATGATCGATCCGACGAGGTGCAATTCCAGCAAGCTAGGACTGAGGAAAGATGAAATGATGTGGTATCAGGATGCTGGACCTAGCAGCCGGTGTGTGTATGTGTGTGTGTGTGTGTGTGTGTGTGTGTGTGCCGAGGAAGACTGTGTATGGTTGAATGTGTGTGTGGCATCCTGTGTATCCATGCCCTCTTCAGGTTGTCCAAGTTGCAGTAGGTGACTGACCACTGGGCCCCAGGAAATGGCAGTGTTGGGCCGGGAGCCAGTATGTCGGGACGGCGGTTTTGCGTAGCAAACCTAGCCCGGCATTGGACAGGCAGAGCGAGAACTTGATGTTGGTCCGATGGGCTGTGACGCTGCCCTGTCCAACGACATGAGCCGAATTTTTTTTTCATTCATTGTTTTTCTTTTTCTTTTTTGCTTTTCCGATTCGTCTGTTTTCTTGGCAGCATCGACAGCAAGTCAGAGACCAGGAAGCACCGGTACGGAGTGTCCAACTCCAGATGGAAGAATGAACTGCTTCGATAGAAGGAAACCGTTTGACGAAGGACTCGGACACCAGATGCTCTCAACGGGCGGGTTGAGCAGTGCCCACAACGACGGGCGACTCAAATTGGGAACGAAGGAAGCGGAAGCCAATCCATACCGTTGCATTGCAGAATAACAAGATGCCCGGATAGGTTAGGTGAAGACGAGAGATTGACACGGGAGGACGGTTTAGAACGAGCTAGGTATTGACCGTCTCCATCGAAGTGCAGGCGGCGTTCAACAGAGAGATTACTCGAGCAGGACGTGTGCGCGAAACGGAGGGCGGACAGGAGAGGAGACCCGAGGAGAACGTGAAAAACTAGGTGCGGCAAATGGCGAGGGAAAGACAAGTCCATTGAACTCCCCCCCAGAGGTTGAAAACAAAGGATCGGGATCCTTGTCGCTGCTTGTCCGCATATGGCCCGGTCTTGGATATTGTGGTGGAGAGAACGTGAGCAGGTTGGGTGAGACGAGAATTGGAGAAGAAGGGGAGCAAAAAAAAAAAAAAAAAAAGGCCTTGGAAAATGGAGCTGTCGTTCGTACGGAGTGGAGATGTACGGTGCTTGTTCGGGAAAGCGCGAGGTGAGGTACGTCCTGTGTGGGTTGTCTGAAGCTAATCCCATTCAGGTCTAGAGGAGCGCCTCATGAGGAACCGGGAAGAGTACGTATTTCCCAAGGTATCCGTAAGGCAGGTAGGTAAGGTAGATACCTACCTGTACGTTCCTACGGGCGGTACGGCACAGTAAGGCGAGGCAAGGTAAGGAAGGTGCCGCCTTGGGAACGAGCAAGGCCCGGAGGAAATCACGACGATTGTTTCCTTGCGAATCTTCTCCAATGGAAGGTACCTTACCATACGGATACGGACTCCGTTCTTGCATGCCACGTCTAATGTGAAGAAAGTAAGGTAGGTCCGCCTCAGTCTAAGTTACCTTGCCTGCCATTAACTACGTTCGTACCGACGGTAGATATGGCAGTGACTCAACGGTATCCCGTGTCCACAGTCTGGGCTCTCTTTCTCATTCCATCCGTACGGAGTATCCGTATCTCACCAAGATGACTGAACCTGGGTGAGCGCAAACCACGACTAAATGAGTTAATACTATACGGGTATACGTCAAATATGGGGTTGTTGACAACTTGACAGACTCCGCCGCGCATCGGCTTTGTGTCGTCTCTCATTGCTCCGAGTCCGTATCCGGGGCAAGACATGGAAGTGGGTGTACGGACGATGATGAGCACTAGAATTTCGTACGGAGAACCTTACGCAGTACGCATATTGGGGCAATGTACATTCGGATGACGGATTACCAATACTTTAGTTTATGACCACCTCCAATCCGACCGGTACCGCAGCGGCAAATGGGACCTGCAATGGCTCGATTTAGAAGGTTAGACGAGCGTGTGAGATGTCTGCGCCAGGGTAGCCGCAGTGTGTGCGCTACGTGCGCTAGGCGTTTTGCTATCCAATGTCAAAGTCCCAAATTCAACACACGTCCAAGATGTGGGTGGGTGTCTTGGTGTGTCAATAATTGGCTTCTGTTCTGTTTTTCGACTGCCGCTCTCTTCTATTTCCCGACCTCCTTCTAATCACTTGTTCGTCTTTCCAAAATTGGGACAACTTTCTTTTCTCCTTGGTCTTCCAGGAGCGGGAGGTCGGACGACCTGAGCAAGGTACCTCGGCCATGTCAAAACTCGACGGAAGTCGTTGGGCGGCGACAGATGCATTCCCTCCTTATGATCAAGGTAACAAATGGAAGGCATGGATCTGGGAAGTTCTCCCGCGCGGGACGACCACATAGCGTCCGTCAGGCGTCAGCATAGAGAAACAAGCCAATAACGTTTCCCAGACCGACCTGGACGCCACACTGTAAATATCCGTAAGACACAATAGTGACTCGTGCCCAAATTCCCCAAGGTAAGGTAGTGAGATGAGGTGAGGAACTCGGGCGTCTCGGCTTATTTGACCAATCTTATGCCTGAGCCTGACCCGTCATCACCTACTAGGTACGGATATACCGTGTACTCTGCCTTCCACGGTTGCACCTTGCATCAAGTTTCTTTTGGAGACATCCAGTCAGACGATGAGTGAGTTTCCTTTTTGCTTTTCTAGGTCTTACGGGAAGTTTCTGCTCCCGGGGCCGTTGCTGCTGCCGTGGCCGAGTTGGGCTGAATTATTCGAGGCCGCCTATCAGTTCAGCTTGATGCAATTGACAGAAGCTCACTCCGTTCTGTCGAGCTTCTCTGCAACAACTCGGTTGGTGTTTCTATCTAATCATCATCTTACTATGTGGACACCTCTGGATGTCTACTCTGTACGGATACTTCGAACATCGTTCTCCCATTGATGTCGGATGAAGGTCAACAACCCCAGCTTGCTGCCATGCCAAGCAGTGAACCGTGCGTGCTCGAGATGCTAACTGGTCAGCTTCTGATCGACAGACCGTGCTGGACGAGGCCAACTCCGACTTTAAAGTGGATCTATGAGCAGGTAGGTACGGAGCACTTCACCGGGCTTACCTAAGGCAGCCGGCCTCGGTATACGGATACGTACTCCGTACACCTTGCTGGCCTGAGCAGTGACAACCTTGAACCTGCGATTCGAGAGGTGGAAGTTGGACATGGAAGTTGGAAATTGCCTGCCGCCGCCGCTCCGCTGGTCAATACGCGCGGAGTATCGATACTTACTGGGTGCTCAGAAGCGGAAGGGGCGCACAGACCATACCTACTGCGTACGGAGTACGGACGCAAACCCACCTCTCAGCGATGCAGCTGCGTTTGGCAAGGCTCACTCACCTCAGGCACTGACAGTCTTCAACCCCCATCTCCCTTCCAATTTCTCTCCCGCCGGCAGACTACCCCCTTGGTGGCTACTGCCAGACGCCGGCTGGCTTTGACCTCGTCCGGTCCCGAGATCTTGGTGCGGATGGGCGAGGCCAGGCCAGGCCAGGTATCTTAGGCAGTCGTCAAGATCCAAAGCAGCGAGGGCGGGCCCGGTAACGTCAACGGCTCAGAGTCACACCCACCCCTCCCCCGTCAACGTTGGCTAAGGTACGAAGTACCTCCCGTCGTATCGTCCTTACCACTCTTGCTGAGGTACTGATGGGAATGTCTATACGGAAACAGATACAGTTGCATCTTTCCCGCTGGGCTCCGTACGGATATTCGTACAGAGCACGCACGACCAGCCATCCAAGCCGCCCAATCACTTCACTCAGCCATCGGCAACCTGAGCAAGCGAAAAAAGTCCAAGTCGTTGGAATGGAAAACGTTTCGAGGTTGCCTTCACCGCACTATCAGTATCCGTACGGATACAGATGACTCCGCTGCACTGCCATCGCGACGACAAGGCTCCGTCCCCCGCCCATCACGTCGCCGCTATTCTCGCATGTTTGCATCGCCTTTAGGCAGACTCTTTTCTAAAGTCCTTGGCTGCGCTTCATCCTTCTGCACCTCGTCAAGCCTGTCAGTCCAGCTCGGCTGTCTACGCAGTAGTTGATCATCTCGTCTCCTCAGCGTCAGGCTGGGATGAGGAGACTCTGAGCCTCAGGCCTACCGCATCGTTGCCGCGCTACCTGCTCCTAGCACACCCAACTCATTTTCGAAGCTCACTAAACTAAATCACGGATAGGGCTCGCCCGGGAACTCGGGGCGTGGCTTGGTCTTTCGGTTTTGCAGTGCCCTTCTCAAGTTCTTTCTCGCGGGCGTTCATCAGATGCGCCGTCGTCCTCCCTAAGCTTCTACCGCTCAACAGCCGACAAAAGTCCCCCTCGAATCGACGCCATGTCATCATCTCCAACTTGTGGGGAAGAGCCTTCAATCAACATTTGTCTTCGGCCCAATCTCATTGAGTGACAAGACGATGCACATCAATGCCGATGAAGGGTGTTGCTTGGCCGTCAGCAGACAGCACATCTGCAGCGGTACAACTCAACCGCCGCAACAAAGGGACCTCGCATCGCACAACTGCTTATCCGACTCGACTCTAGAGTTCTAAAAGCACTCAAACAGTCCCACCACCACCAGCGTTATTGTAGCTATTTACCATACCCGCATACTGCGAGCTGTCCGTCCCTCTGGAACACCACACCCACGAGTCTTGACGCCACTCTCACTTGAGCCAACGTCGACTGTCACCATTGGCGGCGTTCCACCTGTCGCAAGCCCTCGCCGCTCATCGCTGTTTCAAGTCACTCCAGTGGCCATCCGTGGTCTTACACCAACGCCTTCATGTAGCGGCTGGTTTCCGTTGTGATCGAATTGCATCTGACGCCCGGCAACATTTCAAGCCGCTGGGTTGGCGTCCCGAAAGTGCTGCATATTCTAAATTAGACGGAGAGACCTAGGGCCAGCTGGTCCAATGTGCATTTTGTTGCTGCCTTGAGACGCAAAACACGATCGTCGCTCTTAGGCCGCTTCGAGCTGGACCCCCAGAGCTACACCTTCGGACGAGGTGCGGCCCCATTGAGGCCCGGGCTTGTGGACTGTACTAACGCCAGTCACCCTACTCACATCAGCAACGGGCTCAGGCTATGAGATGAGCCACACATTCCAAGCGGAGGTCTCCCGACTGACACATTAGACGGGTACCGAGAGCTTAAGTCATACAGCGAGCAGCCCCCCGATATGCAGCCCATCGTCGACGTTACCGGGAAAGTCCCTGCTACTGCGATATTAATCCCACAAGGCTTAGACTTCGGGGTTGGGTTGGTTTGGTATTGGTGACCATATTGTTTTCACCAACTCTAGCTTCCTCCTTGGCTACACAGTACCATATCCGAAGCATCTTTACGGATACTAGGATTATGATTCCCTGGCTTTTGGATCACAAAGCGTCTTCACGCACACCGGCCCATATCACACCTTGCTCGGTGGAAACATCCGATGGCGTTGACGGTCAGCGTTTATTTCAGCCAATTATCTCTGGCTCACCTCTTTGCACCATGCGGCCTGGTCCATGGCGCGCATGTGTGTGTCTAAAGCAGTGGACAGCATTCGAGCCACGAGATAGATCCCCGGTGGCTCGTTGATTTGCCGCCCAAAAGATAAGCGTTCGGACACAATGTGATGACCGCAGGAGCTGAGAAACTCAAATCGAGAGGGATAGAAGAGTGCCGCAGGGTGAAGCCGTACTAACGGCCAGATGTTACCATCGGCCAAGGAAGCACAGGGGCCGAATCGGCGACAAGCTGCGAGGAAGTGACTGTTTACTTGCGAGACCCATGCCTGTGAGAGCGGAAGAGCATCAAATATGACGCTTTGAGTTCTCACCACTCCCACTGTCATCGCGGATCATTGCGCTGATGATGTGAGATGTACGCATGCGCATGGAAGACGCAAGAAGCGGGAAAGATCGAAGATGACGGTCGGACAATCGTTGGCCAGATTTACGAGTTGCCAGACTAGGAAAGACTGCGAAACTTTGGACGAATCTCGAGGTTCAACACAAGTTCGGGTCGATGAACGACAAGCTGCAATGTTACGCTTGAATCCAGTCCCGGGACCGCTGCATTCCTACCCACGCCCCAAACTCGTCATCAGCGTGGACTCTTGGAAGCTAAGGGAACACCTGTCACTCTCAGAAGGAGACATCGCCAACTTACCGATTGTGGCGAGCGATGTGAATCTCGGCCTCGCCGCTGGCTCCCCACGCCTGACTTCTGGCTGTCGACGATTGAAGTCTAGCTTTCATCATCATACGGAGTATTGCTCAACGAATGCCAAGTCCGAGTCCAACGGAGTCACATTGACCAAGGTTGCAATAACCACTCCGTACCCGACCCGGACTTGGCTGTGTCCGTACGGATAACCCGAATCACCACGAATACACAGCAGAAGCTCACCCCCCAAAGCAGCAATGACGCGAGTGCAGTTTGCATTCTGACCCCCTGAAGTACGTGAAGAAACGACTGCCACGTTGGTGGCTGCCCATCAAAATGGAGACCAGACGACACGACCAGGGTTGCCTGGCACTTTTACTTTTTGAACAGCTCACTGCTCATGCGGCAGGCCACGGACGAGTGAGCTCCAAAATCTCGGGACTCGCCCCCAAGCTCCGACAGTATGGATGGGCAGCTTGATGGACCCCTTGGGACCCTTCAAAAGCAACGAACACAGTGCACGACCTGGCAGTTAATCCATCGTAAACGACTCAATGAGGAAAAGGCCGAGGTTACCAGGTCGTAAAACCAAACATTGTCGAAAGCACTCGGCACGCGAGGTCAGGGGCCCTCACTGTACCGTTGCACCGACGACGCTGCCACCCACGAACATTCACCAAATGAAAACCCTCACAGGACAACGTACTGCTTACTATTGCGTTTCGTATTACGGGCCCTAGAAATTTCGCCAGAGAAATCACAGAAGGGTCTTGCATCTTCACATCTCGCTCTTCACAGCTCACGCGGCTGCAGCCCACAGGGCTAGGGGTGTTTTATGGACTCCTCATGTTCCCCGTTGTTCTACAGCACACGGCACGCGGCATACAACAGTGCCCTGTGAACATCCCCGCCGACCAAGAAACCCACATGCGTGCAGTGTGCACCACAGAATCCCACTTTGACTGAGATTCTCTGCGCCCTCCCACATACAACTGCGACACGGAGCTGCAAAGAGATGGAAATGGCGCTCGTCTGCTACCTTAAAATTGTTAGCGTCACCGACTCTTCGGTGTTTTGCATTTCCCAGACTTCTTGGGGGATCAGATCATGGTTTTCTCCTGATGATTTGCCAGAAACGGCCTCTATGCGCAAATTGCCAAATCTGCCATGCTACTCCAAGGGGTTCGAATCTATGATGCTACAAGGTCCACCAAATCCCGGCCAAATGACACAGTCTTTCAACGGAAACCTTACTGTTAGCATGATCGACTTTTCGGAATGTTTGGCCGATGGGGGGAGGACTGTGCCTCTTACCCCGGATTCACCTCGACCGGGTCAAGGTCGCCGAGCGGCTGTCGAAATCTCCGACTTCATGAAGGCTCGAACGAGCTCTGATGCCCTGAAGGCTCACATTGAAACCAAGACGCGGGCGTTTACTGGAAGATTCAGGTTTGAGGCCACGCACAACCACCAATAGCTCTTCTAACCCTCGGCCGACCTCCGGACTTTTCGCGGCGGCACAGACATCATAGGCCGAGTTGCGGGCGCTCGTCGTTATATGTCAGCAGATTAGAAATGCGATAATGGCGGCGCCGTGCCTCAAACCATGGCGTTTCTAGGTCGAACGCCGCCAATATCATTGCGGCTTCACAGACCTCACAGACAGGCGGGAAACAGCCAGGTATTCTTGAGTACGCCGAGTACCCGACGTCTTCTGGCCCTGTAGGGCGGGGCGATTTAGGGCTGCCTGCACGAGACGCATAGGTCACACCACACGACAGACTGCATGCTCATGTTGGGAAAAGGGTTGAACTGCCTCTTCTGGTTTGCTCTGCGTGTTCACGAGCGCAGCCAGAAAAGCCGCGTATTCTTCCTGCCGATTCGTCGACAAGATATGCAGAGGGGCGGCACGGCTTTCGCTGCCTCGACGTCATCCAAGATTCAAGTACCCTCACAAATTCTCAAACTGTAACCATCACGAATTGTCGCTGTTTTGTACCCGAATGGCTTCGATCCGACAAATTTTTTTTTTTGGCAAAGAGATATCCGTACTAACCCCAAATTCGAGTACTGCGCCTACGACGTCATGGTCTGTTCGTAGACCAGCCGGTACCGTGGCTGGCCAGGCGGACGGGGCCTTTGTACGTGGCCGTACGGATACGCCCTCATCACGTATTTTACGCTTACACCTTTGACCAACGAAACCCTTCTCCGTACACTCGTACATACACGGCCATTAGACACACTCAGAATCCTTCCGCTGCCGCCCCCAAGCGTTCCTCCCAGCCCTACGAGGGGCCGACCGCTCTTCATCTGCGTCTTGGGTTGCTCCAAAGTCTGACATGCAGCGTCAGGTTCCAAAACAGTACACGCTCGCCCGTACACTCTCAAACGGAAAGACTGCGTCTTGCAGCACACCCCTTGTCAAAAGATGAGCTGAAGCACTGGATCCCAATTGACATATGGCCGTCATCTGCACGCTCGACGTGGCCCAGCACTGTTACATCCAGTTGCCCTGTGGACTTGAGATGCTGCGGCTGTGCCGCAGACGAGTAGACAGACACACCACATTATCCACGATCGTTGGCCAGACCCTGGCTCCTTCTCTATTATGGGGACTTTAACGAATTATTGCCATTGCACTCTGTACGGATATCCAAGTCCACTCTGCTTACGACTCTTTTGGCACTTTGGTATGGCGGGACCTGATATATCAACCCGAACCTGCCAATCGCCTTCACCCAAAACCCCGCAAGAGTGCGAAGAAAACATTGTTACAATCTGGCCTGGCCTGGCCTGGCCTGCGTGGCTTCTGGCCGTGAAATGCAACGGCGCGATCCATCCCGAACGCCTTTAATCAGGTTCATGCGAGCATGGATGATTTGGCTCATCGGGAGGATTCAACGTCTCGCACCAAGCGCCCTACGAGGGGCATGATCAAGAGGTGCCAGAGGCACGCCCCCCTCCTGATGTCGAGAGATCGATCAACTTGGCGGCGCACCACCCGCTTGCAATGGCGCACTTAGCACACATTGTTGTCGCGCTTTCTTCGATGCACAACATGTGTCTGGCCAGTTGTGGTGACGGCATCTGACCACTCGTAGTCGGTGCCCTCCGCCGTCGACTCGATGCGGCGTTTATGTGTGGAAACGAAGATAGACTGGAATTGCAGTGCCAACCACGGACATTATCGACCGATGGCATCTGTTTTCTATCATTATCTCCAGACGAATCATGGCGGTGGTCAAGTCAGATGAATGTGCCCATCGCCATAATCAACGAAAATAAGTTCGGCAAGCGCGTTACGAGCGTCAGCAAGGAACTCTCGTAGACAACAGGTCAGCATCTTCAGACACCACAGGACAATTTTGGCCAACGCAGCACCGCTAGGTACCTTCTTGCGTTCGCGGTCGGACTTTCAGATTAACCCCGTGGATGTGGCCGAATCGGCTCATACGCCGATGTGACTCGGAGCACTTGGTCTCGCCTCAGGTCCTCCGGACCTCGTGGGCGGTTTACCATACGGCCGTCCGGGGAATTGGTAAGGGGGCGCACGGCTTGTAGGGCTAGGCGACTGATGCATTGTGGCTGACGGTGGTGGACGACCTGGTATGTCTCAACTTGGAAGCGGCAACGTCTGAGGGACTAGCGGCGAAAAGATCCGATCTTGAAGCTTTGCATTCGCAGTATGCGTACAATGCAGAAGCGTCTTGTTGTCGCCGTCACGGGGTGGTAAGCCGGACGCCCCCGCCTCTGGCGGTAGTCACGATTTGGAAGCACGATGTGTATCGAAGGGCACGACATGGAAGAATGTACGTGAGCCTTCTGTGTGACCCACGTCTCAAAAGCCCGTCTCACGAAGGGGGAAAAGTCAGCCTTGTGTGTCCTAGATATCTCTTCTCACCTCAGCCCGACCCCGAGCTGGCCAACTTCAACTACATGATCGCACTCTGGATCCGCGAGCGTGGCTTGAGCGGTATGCACGCGATCCTCCCAAAACTGTGGCTGGGGTCCCGGTGGTAACGAGGCGGTGACCTGCGCAGGGAGGTCGATCCTATGGCCCTCACGGACCAACCACCGCACATCGTCCGGGCATTGAGGGGAATGACAGATTCTAGGCTCCAGAATTACCTTGTTGCTATTTTGGACGGTGGACAACATCTCGATGGCTCGATTATGATTTCACGGAGAGCGGGTGTGCTCCATTAGTGTCCGGGTCAGGCGCTGGGCCGACGAACGAGTGCGAGTCTTCGCGGGGAGAGAGAGGGTGTAGACAAGAAATGGGGGAGGGGAAAGACCAAGATGGAAGGATTCGTCGAGCGATGGGTGGCGCAAGGTACAGCGAAGCCAGCGCACAATGCCGCCATTCCGGTCGATGAGGAGGATTCATCGACCAACCTATATCGTCCCCACGATAGCTCATGTCAGACGGACCTAGGTCCGGCTTTACGGGCTAGGTGCTCACTCATAAGAGAATATACAGCAGACGGTGAATGGAGAAAAGAAGGGCCAAGCACAGTAAGTCCGCCCTACAAACAATCTCCATACAGTGACGAAGCAGGCAAACGAAGGAGCCTTGAGCAAGGGGTGGCCGTGTTCTGGGCTCATGTAGCTATCAAAGTCTTGACTGAAGCTCGACCCGGTTTGGAAATGTCCTCTTCCCGAGTCCCGACCTTGCTCATTACGTGCCAGGCAATGACGTTTTGAGCTACACCGCAAGCAGGACCCCTTTCATTACAATCCTAGAGATATCATAGCCTCTCTTAATATTTCAAATACCACATCCCAAGGGGGAAGTTTCTGGGACCGGGATGCACATCCTCAGATACCTTGGCCGGTTCAAGCAGTCCTAATAGTCCCATTCTCTCGGTGCTACTTTACCTTTGCGGAGTCCCCAAAGTAAAGCAACAGCATGTCAATGGCCATCCATATGGAGGGATCTCCGCCTCTGCAGTGCTCGGAGTCTACAACGACTGTCCAGGGCAGCCCTACAAGGAGACCATGTATGGAGGCCATGGATTACTCCCTGGACGTGGGAGGTCATCCTCCTTGGCCTTCTTCATCTGTCCAATATTTGGTTTACTGGCTTGGCAATAGGTAAATCGTAATCATCCCCTTGTTGAACATGTAAACGAAATGACTTCCTCTAGCTATGTACGGGTGCTGCCTCGTCGCTGGACGACTTCGACTAACTTCGGCTGGACTTATCAAGTTATATCAGGCTTCCATTTCGTCGTCCCGTCTACTCGAGCTGTAGATTTTCGATGAACTGTAAATTGATCTACTCGTTCTCAAGGAGATGAGCAGGGTACACGAAGAGGTCGAAAGAGAGAGTACGGAGTAACGACACAGACAAGAAGGAAAGGGAAGGGGGTTCTTCGTTCGTCACCCCCAACATCACTCTTCTCCTCGAGCATCCGTACATCCCAATCCACAATTCCACATCCCCATCCCACTTGGGTCTCCTTCCGCCATGGCCTCAGTGGGAAAAAGGCAAGGATCTCGATCCTCCCGCTCGACTCCTCTCCCTCGTTCTTGGGTTTGGTTTTTTTCTTCTTCTCCCACCCTTCTCTGTATCCGTACGGATATCCCACTCACATACACACTCATCTTGACCTGCTTCCTCCCTGCTTCTTCCTCCTTCCTGCCGCAGTGCACAAGCCCCCATGTCCACCACCACCACCACGAACCGCCATCACCGCCACGACCACCCCCACCTCACTTTCTCTCTCTCTTTCCCCATCTATCTCCAGGTCTAGGACTAGTTAAGCTTGTTGGAGGCCGAGAATGTTGTATCGTTACCTAGAGGGTGCTCTGGAACTCCGCTTCTGGCAGGAGTTCGAAGAACCGACGCACGTGTACAAGTACAGATACCCATACTCCTTGACTAATATTGAAGCCACCGGGGCTGGCGGGGGGCTGCGTACGAAGAAGGGCGTATGTATCTTCCCCGAGACTCGGAGCGATGAAGGGAAGGGGGAGTTCAGAATACTCCCAGAACAGAAGAGATCTGCCTCATCTAGTCCTTCCTACGTTTGGCTTCTGCACTTCGCCTCATCACTTTACATTGGTGCCTACTTTACCTTCCCTTTCGAACCCGCCGGTTTCCCGCGGGAAGAAGGGGAAGTAGAAGCAGCCAGGGGGAAGGAGAAAGGGTCTAGTTCTGCCCACCTTCATATCGATGGACGTCTGTATCCCCCCTCTCGATCAAGCTTAGACGTAGGACTTTTTTTTCTGGGTTTTCTCCCCCAACTCCCCTCAACGGTTTTTGTACACTTACATGAGACCGGGTTAAGGTATACAAGGAGAAGAACTTCATTATTGGATGAGGAAGTAGGACTAGGACTAGGACTAAGACGAGAGAAGGGGGGTGATGGGTGTGGTGACAGCAGGGCAAGTTCCGTAGATACCCTCCATCACCCCCCTCCCCTCTCTCCATCAGACCATTCACAGCTCTTGACCTGGACTCATGAGGAACTCGCGGTAATTGAACTCCCCCCCCCCCCCCCCCCCCTTCCCAAGCAATTACAAAGCCAAAGTTGATCCCAAGAAAGACAGGGCATAGTGGCAATCTTGGTATTCCGTAGGCTTGGGGGAGGTCACATACTTACACACATGCAGCTTGATGTAGTCCCAACTCCAACAGGTCCAACATATCACTCTATAACAGCGAAACCTGATGCCGACCAAACGCTTCGTCTTGGGATATGGAGATGCAAACTTCCCATTGGATTGGCACATGCCTACACTACCTATCCAGATACCTCCCCCCCCCTCCCCTTGTCCCATCACCCACCTCC